GGGGTGTGGTGTTATGGGAGTGGCCCTAGAGGATGTGGGGGGGGGCTCAGGGATATGGGGGTCTCTTTTGGGTGTTGGAGGGGCTCTGGGATATGGGGTCTCTATGGGGTATGGGGGGCTGTGGGATCGGAGGTCTGTATGGGGTGGGCCAGGGGCTCTGGGATGTACGGGTATTTGTGGGGTGGGCCAGGGGCTCTGGGTTACGGGGATCTGGGACCACCTCTGTCCCCCACTGACTCCCCCCTACCCCCTGGTGGCAGACGGTGGTGGCTGGCGCCTACCTCATTTCCCACGGCTTCTTCAGCGTCTACAACATGTGCGTGGACACCCTCTTCCTCTGCTTCTGTGAGTACTTGACCCCCGACCTCTGACCCTCCCTGAGCCCTGACCTCCCTGAGCCCTGACCTCTGGCCTCTTACCCCTGACCCGGCCTGCGCCTGCAGTGGAGGACCTGGAGCGGAATGACGGCAGTGTGGAGAAGCCCTACTACATGTCCAAGCCCCTCATGAAGATCCTCCACAAGAAGAACAAGACCAAGGACAAGGACAAGGCCAAGGACAAAGACAAGGAAAAAGTCAAGGCCAAGGACAAGGCGAAGAAGTAGCTGCCAGCTCCTGGCCTGCCCCTACTTCCTGTTGGCCATCTTGTCTTCACGGCCTTCTCCCATTCACAGGCTTTGGCCTGGCAGCAACACTTCCTGTTGGCTATATTGTTGTCTTGGCCAACTCCTGACAACTCCCTGGCCTGTTGACAGCACTTCCTGGTGCCCATTTTGGTGCCTTAGCCAACTCCCTGCCCCATTGGCAGCACTTCCTGGTGGCCATCTTGCCCTGGCCAACTCCACAGCCAATTGAAAGCACTTCCTGTCAGCCCCTCGTGCCTTAGCCTGTTGGCAGCCCTTCCTGGTGGCCATCGTTTTGCCTTGGCCAACTCCCGCCAACCCATTGGCAACACTTCTTGTCAGCCATCTTGTTGCCACCACCAACTCCCCTGCCCATGGGCAGCACTTCTGGGTGGCCATTTTATCATCCCAGCTAGCTCCCCCCGCCCTGCCCATCAATGGCACTTCCTGTCAGCCATCTTACCCTCCCTCCCTCCCGCTTATTAGCTGGCTCCAAATGGGTGACTTGGGTCTTTCCAGTTGGCTCTGCACTTTAGTGGCACTTGGTGCTCTTCCCATCGGCCATGTTGTCCTGAGTTGCCGTGGGTTCCTGCTGTTTCATGTCAGCCATCTTGGATTTCTGGCCTACTCCGCAAGGGCCGATTCCTGCCCATGAGCTGACCTCCATCTGGCACCTCCCGTCACACCCTACCCTCTCAGCCCTACTTCCTGCAGGACGGGAACCTGCCAGCTCCCATTGGCTTACAGCGGCCTCCACATCATCGTGCCTTGGCCAGTAGCGTAGCGATGGTGGTGGGGGCAACACTGGGAAACACTGATCCCCTGGCGCTGGAGACCCACAGTATGCCACTGGCCCTGGCGCCTCCTAGTTTGACCCCAATGCCCCCGATGCTCCGGTTCCTGTCCGCCACGTTGGATGTTAAGGCCTACCCCATTGGCTGGCAACAGCTGCCTCCCTCTGGAGGGCCGACCACCTTCATCTCTGCTGCTCTGTCCCCACCACCCTCCACGCTCCACCGTCAGCCACCCTGCTTTCCCAAAACATTCCCCTCCTTTCCCCACTTCCTGTCCATAACTCCCTCACTTCCTGCCCTGTCTCTATGGCATCCCCCCAGTGAAGTACTGTACAGAAGGGCTGTTTTTTCCACCCTCTTTTTTTCAGATTTTTATGGAATATTTTATAATCCGAATGAGTATCTAATAATAATAATATAATAATAATAATAATCGTAATAATAAAGGCGATTGATTGATATCAAGTGGAGTCCTCCTCTCGCTGCCCCCTCCCCCACCCTAGCACCCCCTGCTGGAAGCAGGCCCGTTCTCACACTCCATCCTCTCGTCTTGGGGCTCTAGTTGCACCTGTGACCCTGGGTTTGAGGGGGGTCAAATCCAGTGGGGATGGAGAGGACCAGCCTCTATGATACCCTGGGCTTGACCCCCCATGGCTTTCCCAGCAGCCCCGGCTGCAACCTAAGGGCATTAGGAACTCAGGGTGAAACCTGTGCCCTTCTTAGCTCCCAGTGACTCTTGGGGAGTGGGGACAAGGTCTTAGGGACCCCAGACCCCATCAGGCTGGGAAGGTGTCCAGACAGGGCATCAGGGGCTGGAGAACCCAGGTGTTTGGTCACCCAGATGTGAGATCATCCCATAAAATGAGAAGCTGGGAAAGAGGGTAAGTGCAACCCCCAACCCGGCTGATGCCCCTCACTCCTGACCTGCAGACCCCCAAGGCCAGCTGATGCCCCTCACTCCTGAACTCCTGTAGCGTATAGCCCAGACACCTGGGTTCTCTGCCAGCCCAGATGGGCTTGGTGGGAACTGGCAGGTTAAGAGGAGGCAGCAGGGCAGGGTGGGGGTGTCTGGGAGTCCGGATGCCTGGGTTCTCCCAACACGAAGGACATGCAGATGCCGGCAATTAGGGAATAAATCACTTTATTCTATAAATACAGCGCATGTTGGGGTGGGGAGAGGTAACACTGAGCCCCCCTAAAATAACACTGCACCCCCAAATTGGGGGAGGGGCAGTTATGCCTTGCGGGGCATGTAAACAGTAAGGGGAACCTCAATACTCATGCTGGGGGATCGAACCCCCAAATACTGTCCCCCGCATCTGCCAAGGCCTCCCAGGACTGACCCCGAGTCACCCCAAATCCAGCCCTGAACCCTGAAATCATGTGACCATGACTCCCCAAAGCAGCAGAGCCTCTGCAGCTCCTGTCAACTATAGTACCCCAAAGAAGCCAGGGACTCCCAGGAGCCCCCCATGTCCAGCCAGGCTCCCCCCACCTGCAAAGCTAAACCCCCAAAGAGCCCAGGTGCCTCCCCAAGCTGCCTGGCACCTCCCCTGCCTGTGGGGGCTGGGACCCCCAGAGTGTGGGACTGGGGGGTGGGGCCCCTTGTACCCCCAACCCAGCTGTACACCCCCAGCCTTGTCCTGGGGGGTACGGCTATGGCTCCCCCCCACCCCTGAGCCAATGGGGGCTCCATTTTGGGGGGGTCAAGGAAAGGCCCCCCCAAATCCCTGAGTGTGTGCATGGAATAGGGAGGGGGGATATTGGACAGGGAAGGGTTAATACTGGGGGGGGTCCAAGCTCCAGTTGCCCCCTTAAAGCCCCCCACAAGCCACAGCCCCCACAAGCCAGCCCCAGCCCCCCACCCCCACTGTCAACATGGCTGAGAACCCAGTCGTCTGGACTCCTAGCCCTCCCTGTTCTCACCCCGAGCCCCCCGTCCTGTCCCAGAGAACCCAGGAGTCCTTGTCTCCAGGCCTCGCTCCCCTCCTGGAGAACCCAGGCATCCGGGCTGCCAGCCCCCTCCCCTGCTGGAGGACCCAGGCGTCCGGGCAGGGCTACGTGAGCCAGGGCTGGATGCAGGTGCTGTAGACGCGCCGGGAGTTGTGCCAGGCCACATGGCCCATGCCAGGCACTAGGCAAGTATGGATGCTGCTGCGCCCGTCCAGGGTCTTCAGCCCAAAGGCATCACGCAGGTAGACCTGGGGGTGGAGGGGTGGGGAGTGTGGGACCCAGGTGTCTGGGAGCCCCCTGCTCCTACCCGCTCCCAGAGAACCCAGGCATCCAGGCTCCCAGCACCCCACAGCCCCCACCCCCATGCCCAGGGAACCCAGGTGTCTGGGCTCCTACCCATGCCCCAACAGAGACCCCAGACCTCCGGGATCCCGGCCCCCCTGCTCTCACTTCCAGCTCCGAACTTCCCTCCCAGAGCCCAGGTGTCCATGTGCCACTCACCGGCTGTGCCCGCATGTCTGTCACCGTCTCATTAGTGTCGTAGAAGGCGAAGAGGCTGGTGGGGAGGTCATTGGGGGGTGCTCAGAGACTCAGGTCCCCTCAACTGGCCAGTGCCCCTCAATCCCAAAACGCAGCCCCTGCCCCCCAGCCCTGCCAGTGCCCCTCACTCCCAACCCGCAGCCCCACCTGGACTGCCAGGGCGTGATGACACCGTCATCGGGCCCCCCGATGAGAACCATGTTCTGGATCCGCAGCAGGTTCCTCTTCCAGGCTGAGGAGATGCCAGGGGAAGGGAGCAATTACAGGAGGGCAGGAAGGGCATCCCCCTCTTGGAGCCCCAGCCAGGGGGCCAGGGGGGCTGCAGGTTGAGAGTGAGGGGCTCCGGGTGGGGCTCA